TTAATTTGACCAGAGAGAGAGAAAGGGAAAGCAAGAAAGCAAGCCGCCAGGTCCAGAACTCAAACTGTGGTTGGCCATGTGGGAATCCAGCACCTTTTTTTTTTTTTTTTTTTTTTTTTTTGAGAGGTTTTTTTTTTTTTTTTTGCTATAGGGCACGTGCGCTCGCCAGACAGACAGAGAGAGACAGAGAGATAGAAAGCAGGAAATCACCCCCCAGGGGGGATGGCCACGCCGCAATCCCTTCTCCTCCATTCTCCTCTCGGGATCTTGGGCACGCACGCACACGCGCCCGGCGTGAGTTTAAGCCACCGGGTCCGGGACTCGAACCGCGGTCGACTATGTGGGAGTCCAGCGACATAGCCATTACGCTAACTGCTGGTCCCAGAATCCAGCACCTTTAACAACCACATCAGCTGCCAACCCCAGCAGCATGTGTGTTTTGATACTATACAGATATCATAGGTAGATGATGATATGGAGTAATATATGTAAAGTTTGTTTATTTGAATGTATCTGGTCATTGAGAAAGTCATGAGATGTTTTCGCATAAAAAAAAATGTCATGAGTTTCCCAACAACCTAAATATGTACATGGAGGGAAGTATGGAAGGGTATTACTAACATATTAACAGTATTTAACTGTAAGCAGTGAGATTTTTAATTTTTTTTACTTAATCTTAAAAATAAAGCAATAGTATTTTTTATTTTGAAAAATAATTAAGGGGGGGCCAGCAGGACCTCCACATGCGCAACCATAGTTTAAGTCCCAGACCTTGTGGCGTGCTTTCTCGTTTTCCCCCTCTCTCTCTGGTGACCTCATGTGTCCAATAGCAAAAAAATGTAAAAAGATAATAACAATAAGTAAAATAAAATAGATAATTCTTTTAAAAAAGAAAAATAATTAAAGTACTCATTTTTAGGTCTTAAGTTAAATGGAAAATGTGTATATATTTTCTGTCTTCTTCTTTTTTAATTGCCAGAGGACACTTGTGCTTTCCAGAGAAAGACAAAAGGAGGGAGAGAGAGGGAGAGAAACGTCTCCTGAGGGGGCGTAGTCAACCACAATTCCTTCTTTTCCGTTTCTCCATCCCATGGAGATTTTGGGCATAGGATGGGACCTGTGGTCAGCCATGTGGGATCCGGTTTTCCTTTACTAGGCCATGGGACTGACTCAAAATTGTGTTTTTGGTTTTGGGAGTTTTTTTAAAAAGATTTTTGCCTTAGGGCAATGTGTACTTGCTGGAGGGAGAGAAATAAGACAATAAGAAATCCCCCTTAAGGGGGATGGCCATGCCAATCCCTTCTCTTCCATTCTTCTCCCAGGATTTTAGGCACACATGCACAGATGCCTGGCATGATTTTCAAACCACTGGGTCCAACACTTGAACCACAGTCAGCCATGTGGGAGTCCAGCGACCTAACCACTATGCCATCTGCTGGTTCCCAAAACTCTGTATTATAATGATCTATCTGACGTGACTCTAATGTCTTCTCTCTCATTGATACAGGGATTGGTTTAATAAATTACTAAATTAAACTTAGCAATTTTATCTCCTATTAAATCCAAAATTTGGCCTTTCTCTGTCCTCAGTCCTTGGACTGTATCACTTCTGACCTGCCATACTGCAGTTACCTTTTTACTTAGACTCCTTGCTTTCAGTCTCATCTATTTTTTTATTCATTCTCCAAAGCTCAAGAAAAATATTTCACAGAACCAAAATCTACTTGTGTAACCCTTCTGCTTAAAAAACTTAAATGCAGGGAACCAGCAGTTAGCGTAATGGCTATGTCGCTGGACTCCCACGTAGTCGACCGCGGACCCGGTGGCTTAAAACTCACGCCAGGTGCGTGTGCGTGCGTGCCCAAGATCCCGAGAAGAGAATGGAGGAGAAGGGATTGCGGCGTGAACATCCCCCCTGGGGGGTGATTTCTCGCTTTCTGCCTCTATGTCTCTCTCTGTCTGTCTGGTGAGCGCCCGCGCCCTACAGTGAAAATCTCTCCAAAAAAAAAACCTTAAATGCACAAGCCCTTTCCCAGTACTGCTGTCTGGTGCAGTCCAAACTTGGTAGCATGGTATATTAGCTCTCTGGCCTTGTTCTGCTTCATCATGTGCCAGCTGATAGCATCATGAGCCTAACTTAGACCCCACATCCTACAAGGCCCTTCCTCATAACTCAGCCCCAGCTCTATCCCAGGCTAATTCTCCTGTTGTATGCTCTCATAATGCCTTGTCCTTAATCTTCTATTTACAGCACTTACTACAGCATTGTAATACCCATTAGAGTCTTTTGCCTATTGGACTATAAGTTCCTTGAGGGTAGAAAAAATCAAGTGTCTGTTTCATCATTGTATCCCTGTAATTTAACAAACTCACACGTAATAGAATTTTTAAAAATACTTTTGGAATAATTAATCAATCCAACATTTTTTCTTAAAGTGGAAGTAGAAAACTAATAAGATATTTTTTAGCCAAAATTAAGAAAGACGGAAAGCATAAGATGTATAATCAGCTTTTGAATGAAATTCTAATTCCTAAGGCATACAAAATGAGAGGCAATTAAAATAGCAAGGACTATGTTTGTCGAACTGTAGTTTTATACTACATCTGTGACCTTAGAAAACCTTTGATCACAGTTACTTCCTCTCTGACTCTTTCCTTGATTCCTCATTCTGTTTTCCTACTTCAGGATCAGGAATATGAAAGCAATGGTAATAGAGGAAAATATATAGAAATAACAACCTATAACCAGGGTTTTTTTTCCTATTTTTTCTCTGTTACTATAGAAGAAAGTACAACTTTTAAATTAAATTTTTTTTTTGGAGAGGTTTTTGCTACAGGGAGTGTGCACTCACCAGACAGAGAGAGAAAGAGAGACAGAAAGCGAGAAACCACCCCCCTCAGGGGGGATGGCCACACTGTAATCCCTTCTCCTCCATTCTCTTCTCGAGATCTTCGGCATGCACGTACACGCGCCCGGCGTAAGTTTTAAGCCACCGGGTCCAGGACTCAAACCACGGTCAACTACATGGGAGTCCAGCGACATAGCCAGTCCGCTAACTGCTGGTCCCTGAAATAAATTTTTTAAAAGGAGATAAAATAAGGAAAGGCAAATGAAATTTAAAATTACTGAAAAGCCCACTTCGTGAACTTTGTAATTTGATTTTTATATTTTTCCTTATTTGATTTCTATATGTACATTTTCTTCCCCCACTTAGTACTGCATTAAGAACATTTTCCCAGGACTGCTGGCCCCAGGCCCTCTCCCAGCCACACTGGCCTTTTTGTGATTCTTCCAGGCAGTTGTGCTTCTTACCGCTTTGTCCCCTGCATACACTGTCTCTTCTACCCACAACTCATTTCCTGCAGGAAAGCAAAAGCTCTTGGCCTTAATATTGACTGATTTGGCTTCCAGATCTTTCCTAATATTTCTAGCCCAGAAGTCTTGTAGCATAAAATTGCACTTATCTAATAAACAATTAAAGAGATTTATGTTACTACATAAACAAAAGGCTTCTTAACTCTTCATAGTTTGCTGAGTGAGTCTCAAATTATTCATGTCCTGAGAGAGCCCACTAATAAACATTTACTCAGTGTATTTTTTTTTACATGCAAGAAGTTCCAACCCTTGCCTCTTCCTGAAATTGGAAACACATCTACTTTTTCCTCACCTGAAGATTAAAGTATTTATGCTCCTTATCTTTATTAGAAGAGAATTTGAAACTTCAGGGGACCTTGAAACCCCACCCCTCCTTTGAAATTTACTACCAAGTACTCTGATTGCCTTGAGCTTCTATCTTGTTCTCCCTGGTTCCTCAGGCAGTGGTCCTCCAAATGTGGGACTTGGATCCTTAGCTATAGCATCGGCTGGGAAGTTCTTTGACATGTAAATTTTCAGCCCTACCCCAGGCCTGCTGAGGCAGAAACTCCAGGGCTGGGGCCCAGCAATCTGTGTATTAAAATATGTGCTGTTTGAGAATGCCTTCAGCAGAAGTGAGGGAGTTCTTGTCCTCAGGGTGCTCTCAGACTTCCTGACACTAACCAGCCTGACTGCCCAGATGTTTGCATATTGACCAATAGTTGGTCCTTATAGCTACACATACAGATGGCCTGTTAGCATTCCCACATGATCTCCCACTGACCTTCCTGATGCCGGTTGTTCTCTGACTAAACATCTGTCATCACAGCCTATGGTGTTTCTAATTACTGTAGCCTGTCTAGCTGTGTTTTATCTCAGCAGCTGCAGCAGGGTTGTTGTAACATCACCATTACCTGCCCCCTATAATCATATCTTGCCCAAGGTTCTGGACCCTTTGAGTCTTCTTGGACTCTCAGGGAGCACACTGTCACTCCCAGTCCTGACAAAAGATAGGACACATAGGGGGAGAACCCTTAATTCCTAATTAAAGCCAAAAGTGCAAATAGCACACAGAATACACAGATGCTTAGGTGATTTAGAATTCATGAGAAGGAAAAGAGGGGAAACAGACTTAATTTACATTCTCTGATTTTTGAATGAGTGTGTTACCTACTGAAAACCAAATTATTTTTAAATTCTGAAAAATGCATAGTAAAAATAGGAATGGGGCTGGCAGGTGGCATGGTGGTTAAGGGTGCTGTACACCCACATAGCCAACCATGGTTCGAGTCCTGGACCTGGTGGCTTGCCTTTTCTTTCTCTCTCTCTCTCTCTCTCTCTCTCTCTCTCTCTCTCTCTCTCTCTCTCATCAAATTAAAATAAATAAAATAATTCTTTAAAAAATAAAAATAAAAACAAGGAATGATTAGGGGAAACTTCATAGAGGAAATGAGTTATAAGCTTCATCTAGTACAGGGTAAGAGGCAGAGATTAATGATGAAGGACAAGGAATACATTCCAGATGAGAACGGAAAAGGGTAACTGGGTGAGTATGAACCACATAGGAACTGCAGACGGGCAGTGAAGAGCCTGTACTGAGGGGGTCCTTTTACCAAAATATACTTTTCATTGACATCTTGTTTAGGGTATGGAATTCCACCTAAAGATGGAGATGAAAAAACAGATGAAGAAGCCGATGGGCCATATTCCGAAGATGAGATGTTAACACACAAAGGGCTTCGAAGATCACAAAGCATGAAATCTGTGAAAACTGTCAAAGGCCGCAAGGAGGTTAGTCAAGTGTAGAATTGTTTTCCTAATGATTAATATGAAGGGATTTCTCTGCTGCATTGTCATTTAGGGTGTTAATGATCCATAAGTGAAGGACTGGAATGGTAGACCAGGAGTCGTATTTAAAATTCTTGTTCAGTTCAGATGCATTAGAATCTCCAGAAATTTTGAAAATGGTAAATTCTTGATCTCTGACTATAAGTAGAAGATAGCATTCCCACATAATAAATCACATGCTATCATGAATACCCAATGCTAACCCTATGCATGAACAAGGAAAGCGACTAACAAAATTAATTCATAGTTTTTCTTCCAGCCTCCTACATGAAGATGAAATAGTAAACATTTATTCATAAGATTACGGTCTTTATGGCCAGAAATTAGTAGCAATTATAAATGGCCTCAAAGTATTTCAATCAGTGTTTATTATCATGGTCATGGGTAAAACATAAATCATATCAGTTGTTTTTTGTTACTAGCAATAAGCTGTAGATATATATCCACATAGTATCAGCTACAGTTTTTTGAGTATGTAAGTAGAACTTCCTTTTTTGAGAAAGAGAGAGCTTTTGCTATAGGGCGCATGTCCTTGCCAGAGAGATAGAAAGTGAGAAATCACACATCCCCCGCCAGGGGGATGGCCATTGCCGCAGCCCCTTCTCCTCCAGTCTCAGGATTTGGGGCATGCGTGGACACATACCTGGTGTGAGTTTTAATCCATCAGGTTTGGGACTTGAATCATTGTCAACCACATTGGAGTCCAGCTGTGTAACCACTACTACCTCTGGTAGTCCCAGTAGAACTTTCTTGTACATACTTGTTGATAATTGATTCTTTATATCAGAAAGCTTATGAAATTACTGTGATTATGAACTATTAAATCCTACCTTTAAAATATAATCATCTCATTCTTAATAATGCATTTCTCTCTTTAGGTGCGGTATGGGTCACTAAAATATAGGGTGAAGAAGAGACCACAGGTGTATTTTTAGTCACCTATACTTCAAATATCCCAAGACAAATTACGCTACACATTAACTTCCTTGTCTGACAGGAACTATTCAGGATTCACACATTAAAACAATTCTTTAAATTACATCAGTGATAGGATTTACTTTGATGAATTTAAACAGTTATTATTTCTTTAATAATTTCTTCCAAATATTGACTACTAGAGTAGTTATGCAAAGTCTGTTTGTGCATATATAATATCAGAAATTATGAAAAAATTGAGTTATCTGTTTTCAAATTCGCGGACAACATTGAGTGCCTGAAATATAACACAAACCCACAGTTTACTTGAAAAGAGTCTTTTTAAGGTTCAGGATACATCAGCCTTTGTGATGTTGAATTGCATTTACCTCCATTTATGTTGTATCTGTCACTTAAGGGTAGTTATTAACTAGCCCTCTGATCCTGCAGTGATATAACAAGAACATAATTAATGTAAGATAATAAAGTATGTTTTATATATTTACATTTATACTTTCATAATACTTTCTAACTTCCACCATTAACTGAAAATTTTTGAAACAATATTTGAAAACCAGGTATTCACATAGCACTTTTTTTCCTAACTAGTTTTGCACACTTGAAAATTGTTTACTTATTTTACAGCTGTACATTTACTTTTAATTTTTTTTTATTGCATTTTTGTCATAAGGCATGTCTGTTGACCAGGGAGAGAGAGAGAAAAACCACCCCCAAGGGGGGGGGTGGCCACACCACAGTCCTTTCCCCTTCATTCTCCTGTTGGGATTTCGTGTATGTATGCACACTCACCTAGCATGTTTTTCAAACTGCTGGGTCCGGGGCTGTAACTGCACATCCAGTGCTTTAACCACCTTAGCAACTGCTGGCCCCAGTTACTTTAAATTTTATTGACACTACTTTTATTGTTATTTCATATGCTGACATGTCAGATTCATGCCTTGAATTACACCATCTCTTTTGCTGTGGGTTTTATTTGCTATATGCATTGGATTTTAATAATATAACAATATAGTTCATTGTTCAATTTTAACCATTTCTAATTATAAAACAATTCTTATTAAATTAAGAGGATTTTTAAAAACATTAACCAGGTTTTCATATTTAGTTGTACAGTGTAGTTGTAATTTAGCATGTTTTTGTCAACAGTGGTTGTATTTTTAGCTTTTGTGAAGTAGTCAAAGACCTATATAGAACTTAGATCTCTTCTAATTCATAGTATTATCCAACAGCCAGTCCATTCACAAGCTTGGCATTGATATGTGCTGCTGGTTTATAAATTTGGCATTGACTAAATTCATTTGAATCTCTTCTGGCTGAGATCATTTCCTGAACATGGGTGCCAATGCAAAATACAAACGTCACCAATCCTACATACTAGAAGTTATTTTAAAACTATCACTTTTTTTAATTGAAGAGATTTTGAATTATTGAACTCTGAGGCTCTTTTAGGTTGTACTGGTAACTATACATTATGAACCTTAAGTTGATGTATTTTTGGTGATAATTTTAGTGATAAATTATCAAATTTCTACTTAATATGCCTGTTCATGTAATTTCTTTGGCTTTCCTACTTCTTTGTCCAAAAGAAAATCAATGAAAGAGAGTTATGAGATTTCTGACTATTCTACCTTTTAAGAAATAGAGCTAGCTGGTAACGGGTATTCAGAGTCTCTTCAGAGTATTGGCCAAGAACAGAGTGTTTACTCAGGAGTACCTTAGTATAATTCATATGTTATCTCCCAGTTCTTGTCTTAAAATATTTTTGTAGCCCAGATGCAGTGGCACAAGCAGGAGAGCATTACTATGTAAGGCTGAGACCTCCCTAGACCTACCTGAACAGGCTGGGTGTGGTAGCATGTGCCTAGTTAACTGGTAGACTGGGGCAGAGGACCACAAAAGTGAGACTCTATCAGTAATGCCTGTCTCTTTCTGCCTCCTCTTCCTTCTCCTCCTCACTTGCACTGCTCACTTCTGCTCTCTCACACATTAAAAATATATATTTTTTTAGACTATTTCACCTCCTTGATACATAACATTAGGTGAAAATGTATTCTCCAACTATTTTGCCTTGACTAATTTTTAACCTCTTAGTTTCAAGAAGGACTCTTCCCCCCCACCACCACCCCAGTAAAATTTCCATGAATTGTAATTACAAACTCTTAGAAGAGGGTTTTGTTTGTATTGCCTGGTATGAGACTACTTAATATAAATGCTGCACCATGCTTGTCTTTCCTGCACAAAGGCAATGTCATCTCAAATTGCCCGATAAGGTCATGTAAGTGACTTTGTATCAAGAGCATTATCCATGGGTGCTGATTTGTACCATTCTTTTTCAAGTCTGATCTCAGTGTTAAGCCTATTCTTTAATAAACTCATATACTATTCTAAATTGGAACCATTATGTACCCATCTACATTTCTAGAATCAAAATGCTTTTTCAAAGACAGCAGCAGACTTATAATGCCAGCCCTGTGTTTATCGTGCTCCTTCGGTCTCAGCGCTTGTTCTGATAACATTTCTTGTTACGTCCCTGTATACAAATTGATGTCATTTTGCTCTGTTTTCAGTCTTTTTTACATTCCTTTAATTTTGGTTCTCATTACTTACATGTGTTTCAGTAACTTCATGTAATAAGCTTACACATTTTTGTTTCTTTTAATGTAGAGCAGAGGTTTTTTGTTCATTCCTCTCATTTTAAGTTTGCTGGTGTAAAAAGAAGTACGTTTATCTGTAGACCACTGTGCCTTGCTTCACCCACACCGCCACGTGGGTATTAGATACACAAACCTATTTTGGGCACTATTTTAGTAGCTGTTCAAGTTTATCCAAAAATCGTAGTTGATGTTTTATTTTACTATACATCTATTCAACTTGTTCATTAATAATTATTTCCAGAGTTTGTTTAGGAGTAAGAATTGATCTATTCTTCAACCATATTCTTTCTGGTATAAAAATGAGCCAGAAATAAGCCTTAATACTAAGTAATTAATTATATAAACCCACCCAGGTTCTGCATAAGATCCCCTCTACACACTTCACTGAAAATGATACTGCCAGCATTACTAATTACAAATACTTGACTACACTGATTGATGGGACAAAATTACTAAAGGGTTTTCAGGGATCTTACATCATGCGTCACCACCAAAGATTTCTACAGTATTACAAAGTATGTAAATATTCCAAATTTAATAGAACATTGATTAGGTAAATGAGCTCTTTCTTTCCTTTTTTTTTTTTTTTGAATAAGAATTGTGCTTTGGGAAAATGCTTGAATTTGAACTTTTTTGTTGTTTTATATATACTTATATATAAAATGCTGTCATATTAAGTATGAATAAGTTGTGTTTTTCATTGGGATGGACTAAATTTTCATTTGGTTATTTTTTTGTCAGGAAAATTAAGGAACTAAATATATTTAAAAATAATTTTCTCTTGTGCAGATTGATTCATTTGCAAAGCATTTAGATAAATTCTGAAATCATTGTTATTTTGTTATGCAATGTATATGTTTTTAGTAAACATCTTTCAAGATTAAAGTGTTCTGAACAAAAAGTACAGCTTTTTTCCTGAAGTTTTTAAGATTTAATCTCTTAATATCCTACAGATTTAATGTATATTAGCTCTTTTTTAAAAACGACTGTGACTTAACATTTTCTCTTCTAACACCTTTTAAATCTGTGTATTTTAATAATTAGGACAAAACAATTTCTAAAACTGTATAATAATCTCTTTGTAAAGGCTGTCTTTAAGTGGGTAATTTTATAAGTGTGTTTTTTGAGAATGTTAATATAAAATAAACTAATTTTATTAGTGGCAATTTGTGTTTCTTTTTTATGTCAGAGAATATATGTTGGAGTCCATGAATTGGCATTGTTTGTTATAAATATATTGACAAATAATGGACAATATATACACACACTTAAGGTTACAAATTACAGAGGACGTGATAAAAATTCTATACATTCTGGAATGCTTGTCTATAAGACTATGAAAGAAACTCTGAATTGTTAAATGTGGGTGTCAGAATGAGAAGATAGGAAGAACAATGAATACAGAAACCTTAGCCATCAATTTGAATTGGTTAGCTGTCTCAGGCATAAAATACAACACACAATTCAGATTTATGTATCCTGGAAATGTTCTGGGGTTCCATCTGTTTTAAAGTCAGACGTCTGTCTGCCTCACATTTAAGCTTTAGGGAGAAATCCTATGTTTAAAAAAGTTTCTTTGTGTTACTGCATTATAATATATCATGTGTTCAAATGTTTCCAGATAGCATATAAAAATGGAGCCATATTTTCATCTTTATTATAAGGTATATCCTTGTGATGATCCAGAGAGCTTAGAAATTTAAATAAATATTTAAAAGAACACAATGAATGTATAAACTGCGGTCATTTTTTTCCCCATTGTTTTATTCTCCCTTGAAGTGGTTCACTGTTCTTAAAAAAGGAGATTCATGAAAAAAATCATGTCAGAGACTGATTCATTGTTCCCTGGAAAACATTCTGCCCTTTTACCTGCCCATTAATATTCTAGCCTTGAAACTCTCTCCTTAAGGTCTGGCTTTGGTAATGTTTTTTTAAATTGCTTTTTATACGATAAAGCTTTGAACTGAAATTGTAAAGCACAGGATTGATAATTGTTAAGTGTAGGTTTACTAAAGGGCTGTGCTCAACCACAGCAGGAAAATCACCATGCTTACTCATTGTTTACCTGACAATCCTAGATGAAGAAAGTAGAGAAGAGGGGAAACAAAAGCGTGATATTCTTGCATTATGTGCAAATGAAATTAGGATCAATTTTTTTATCCAAAATTATGCATTAATTGCCTACTTAGTGTTATTTCAGTTCTGTTATGGTTTTGCACAATGCTTCTATCTAAGATCCATAGTTATTAACCTAAGGGAAACAATGCTTGCTTTTTAAAAATGAATTTACTGTCACTAAATCAATATTTGATTATTTGAATGTTACCTATCTAGCGATTTTTTCAAGGTTATTGACTAATTCATTTGGCTTTCTCAGCGCAGATTTTTTTTTTCTTAATCCTTGGTTCCCTCCTTTTCCTTACCGCTGATATCTAGTACATTGGTGAAGTCCTTTGTCTCTCCCAAATATATCCTCAGTTTGACCAGTTTACTCATGTCCCCTGTTACTTTCTCAGGTCAAGCAGTCACCCTCTCTAGTCTGGAATATTTGGAGCATTAACTTTTATTTAAGGTGTAATTTTTGAAACCTTGCTACATTTTTAGTAGCCCTTCAAAATTAAGAGTCCCCACCCCGCCGGTAGCACAGCAGTTAAGCACTACCCAGAGGAAGCCAGATCCCACAGGGTCGACCTGCGCTCCAGTCCTGACCTTGGCAACTTGAAAACACTCTAACCACACGCACACATGCCCAGGACCCTGACAGAGTGAAGAATGGCAGAAGAAGGGTGATGGCATGACTAGGCCCCGTTAGGAAGGGGCTCGCTCTCACTCTTCCTCTCTCTCATATGTGCACGTGAAAATGTGCCCTCTAGCATTAGATAAAGAAAGAGGGCCAGCCTGTGGTGTTGTGAAGGCAGCTGCATGGCCTACTACTTGGTTTAAGTTCAGACCCTCAACTTGAAAAACACTCTGGGCGGGACCAGCAGTTAGCATAATGGCTATGTTGCTGGACTCCCATGTAG